AGCTGCACTGACAGGAGACATAGATGTGAAAAAACAACAGTAACTGCTGAAGAGTCACTGCATGTCTGCAGAACTGCGCAGATGGTGTATAATCAAGAACAGGAAATCAGTTGTGTTTTTCTTTTTCATCCCCAGCAAGATTTTCACACCAGTTCCCACGACTTCACAGATTACACTTTTCCTCTGCATGGACTTTGAGCTGTGGAAAGTTTGAGAAAGATGAACCGATGGCCACTTTCTGTTGTTGCCGATAAGGTTTACATTTCAGATGCCAACATATCATGGCTTTTCTATTTTTCACAGTTGTTTAGCTGTTGAAATTCCAGTTATCTTGCTGTTTAGACAGGTCCCTGTTACTCTTGCAGACAAAATTTATGTTTGGCAAAAATACTTCTGCAGCTTAGTTAACATGTGTAAATTTCTTGCTGAAATAATTATTCTTTAAAGTATGAAGCATCCAGAGACCAGTCTCCAGCTTATTGTGGCTTCATTCAGCCAGTCATGTGAATAACAGGTGTTCAGTCATCAGATTGTGCAGTTGTGTGTGCATGTCCATGTATTATATTACACTGTGGACAACAGCCCTCTAATCTCTTCTGTCTGCTTCTCTGGAAGAAACGGATCAAATCCTGATGTCTGTACCTTCTGTCTGCTTGGAGGTCTGAGTGACAGAGGTGGCAGCAACAATAGGGCGAGGCCAGACTGGGTGGGGGTTGGACATGCTATTAGCATGAGAAAGCCCTCTTCATCAGCTCTGTCCTCCTCTTCACATTGTCTGCTTCGTGTCTGTGGCTCAGTCGCAGGACAAGTCACTTCCTTAAAGAGAGAGTTTCTCAGCAAACACGTTTCACTGATCAGATTACTTCATGTCAGTTTTAAGTGATGTCTGGTGTTAGAATTGTTTGCTGGCTGGTTGTTCAACTTTTAAAATTTTCCCTTTGTTCAAATTTAGACATTTTAGAAAGAAAAATTGAAAACTATCTGTTAGTTTAAAATATTGTTGTCTATGCTTTTTGAACATCATCAGCTATATCAGCTTATTGCCGTAGCCTGTCCCACTAAACTCCCGTATTTTGGGCTTTAGCAAGTTGCACAATATAGTAAAAAATATATATCTTAACCAATGTTGTCAACATGCTAACAACTCAGGAATTATTTGTAGCCCAGGTTAGCACATAGACATTGTGGTGTATCAGTGACAGGAGCCACTTTCTTGCAGTAAACAGAGATGCAGAGACTTACAGGAACAGAATCAAGCTTTTTCTTTCTTACAGCTCACAAAAGCACGATTTGTAGAAGCACAATTTCTGACAAAAATCATTAATTTAGTGGGAATCCCTGGAATTGGTTGGTTCTGTCATGGAGGTGAAGAATATTTTTGCAGCGGTTTTGCACAGAGGTCAATCTTGGTTAGCTTTAATTACTAAATGAGCAAATAAGCTTATCTGTATTACTGCAGACAAATTAAGCAACAATCAATGGCAATCACTGCATGATCCATGAATAGTCACTGCCGTCACCGGCTACCACTGTTTGCCGGGACGCACAACTAGTTTTCTCAGTGCTTAGTGTTTGTAAAGCAGAACTAAAAAGTAGCAATGAGAGATTCAACCATGTTTTTGCTGTTTCATGTTGCAAATTTCCAGAATGGCCCAGAAACACTGATGCAGAAGCTTAACAAACTCTGAATCTTGCCATATCTTTCCACTTGGCTTCAGGCAGCACTTATTTGCCTGTTAAAAGTACAACAGTTTTGGGTCAGAGCGGGGTGATGTTTTTGTCACTGATACTTCCTGAGGGGAATTTGCTGATGCCTTTTTTCCTTTAGAGCTCCTCTGCAGCTGGCAGCACTGGATTCTGGATCCTGCATTTGCTCATCAAATAATAGGAGACACATTGTACGGCAAGAATTAAAGGAGACATAAAACTGAATTACTAAACTGCTTCCTGACAACTGTGCACTCTGGTCTTGGCAGGGCTCTCACTTTATTGTGGCCATTTTTTTTGGCCAAGGCAGTTGAAGCTTTTGCCAGATAGCTCCTCTGTGGTGAAAATCTTGCTGTAGAAATTTCAAAAATGAGACAGAATGTTTCTCTCTCTCTATCTCTCTCTCTCTCTCTCTCTCTCATTTTTCTCTCACCCGTCTCTCTCTCTCTCTCACCCCCTACTCCCTCGTTCTCTTCCTCCCTCTGTGGGTGTTTGGTACACTAAGTGCTTCATGATTGCTAGGGCCGTGAGGAGGCGCAGTCGGCGGAGGCGTTAACAGCCCTCAGCCAAGTGTCCTTGCTTCCCCAAGTGGTTTTTCTGGCAGCGTTTTGGTCGAGTGACAGCGGAGTCAGCGTTATCCAGTCAGATAGCAGCGTTCAATGACAATTCTGCATGGCAACATGGTGGCAGAATTTCCATAACAGCCCCTGTGTTGGTCATACATAGACTAATTTGTCACGCTAAAATGTCACGCGGGCTCGCCACATTTGGATTGCCTAAACAATGAAAGTGCTTATGTGTGCTCTTCAGAAATCAGACTGTACACAGTGTTTGTGTCATTACTTTTAACTGGGACTGTTTTTGCAGCAGGCTGTTAACTGTAAAATGTATGAACACTTACAAGTGAGAGAGAGTTCATGTTAGGGCTGAACAATTTGAGGAAAAGGTTGAACATCAGTTCAGCATTCACCAGGTGGAGGACATGGTGTATTTGTAAAAGTAGTGACATGACGATTTTATCCTAAGTTGCAGCCTTTGCAGTTTGCTGATTGTTTCAAATGGCTATTTTGATTGAAATCAATCTTTTGTTCAGCTCTAGTTCACATGTCTGGCTGTACCGTCTTTAAATTAAATGATGAAATGTTTCTCATTGGGATCCAAACTGTTGTGATCACATTGCAATCACGTTGTGTATACCCCAGAGGACGATATTTTATGACACTGCCTAGAGGCCTGGAGCCTATCCCAGCTGACTTAGGGTGAAGGCAGGGCACAACCTGGACAGGTCACGAGTCTATCACAGGGCTACACTTAGGGACAGACAACCAAGCACACTCACATTCACACCTACAGACAATTTAGAATCACCAATTAACCTCAACATGTTTTTGAACTGTGTGGGAGAAAGTCAGAGAACCCGGAGAGAACCCACGCTGCACGGGGAGAACATGGAGACTCCATGCAGAAAGATCCTCACCAGGACGCGAACCAGAGGCCCTCTTGCTGCAAGGCAGCGGTGGTAACCAATGAGCCACCTTGCAGCCCCCCAATATGTTATATAGCATAATATTAAGTATCAATCATAACTAATCAATCTTTATTCTTGTGCTAAAAATGTGCTTTTCAACAGTTTTTTTAACTAATCGTTAAATACTCATGGCAAACTACTTACTCTTACAGTACAGAGACAAAGATTTTATCATAACTTTAATGCTAAACGCTCTGTGCTGCCTTCTAAAGGTGCACAGCTGAGTGTTTGAGACGTACAGTATTCTACTTGGATGTTTGTCAGGTGTGTTAATGTGCTGAGCTGTGGTTCTTGTCAGTGTGTCGCTGACGCGCAGAGCTGTGCTGCTTGGCTATAATTTACACACTGTTGTTAAGTTGATTATGGCAGCTTGGTGAAGGCAGGTGGGTTTTTATTTTTCTGCGCTGGAGGCATTATGTTTTCGTGTTCTGTATCAGTCCATCCCATTCTTGTTATCATGACAAATCAGGAATGCCTTGAGGGAATTTTTTTAAATTTAGCACAAAAGCTCACTCACAAATGGCACGATTAGAATTTGATGGTCAAAGGTCAATGTTCCTGTGACCTCATGTCCGGCCCCTTTGTGTGAGCAACATAAATCATGAATGCCTGGAGTGAATTTCATTACATCTGGCACAAATGTCTATTTGGCCATAACTGAAGATTTCATTCTGTCATGATGGCAAAATTTCACACAAGTGTTTCATCGGACAAGTGATGACAAGAGTAATGACATTGTAGATTCAAAAGGTTAAAGGTCAAGTGACTGGTTGGCGGAGGCATTCAAATGCTAGGCTGTTAATCAAGTTTAAACTCTGCAGAAATGCATTAATACTCTTTTTCTTTAAAAATGTTTTAATGCAGGTGCAGTTTCACTCAACTCACTTCTCTCTTTGTACATTAGAGACGTGTTTAAGTGTTAAAAGAGGACCAAGGGGATGAGATGTACGATTTCGATGTGGGTGTACGTCTGAAACGCCTCTTTTGGTTGACCTAATGCTGCACTGATTTGGATCCGAGTACACGGTGGCGTCTTTATTCAGCTTTCATTGCTATTTCTGTTTCCAGGCAGCGTTGGCCATGATTCATGCGCCAGTTATTAATTAAAACTGTTTATGATCAACAGTTTAAATCCCGCCCACTCATTTTGGCTCAGATGTCTGTGTTTACCACATTGAAACTGATACATATAGAGCCTAAAATCTATTTTTTTAAACTACTGTTGAATATTAGTGAACCCTCTGGGATCACTTAGCAACTGAACGTTCTCGCAGCTGATTGATTACTTTATTTCTGTTACACATCTGAATTGTGTATTGTTCTATTGTTCTATATGTTTTACATGTTATTGTTCTCATATTTTTTAGTAAAGTTCTGTGTAAGCTTTTAAGTTTGAAAGTTTATACAGTTGAAAGGATTGCTGGTCATGATATCATCATTTGGGAAACATTTTAAAAATTTTTTTGACTTTCTTGCTAAAAGTTAAACGACCGAATATATACCTCTCTCATATTGGTATTGTGACGATACGCCAAACATCCAGCTAGCTTAGCTTTGCTATTGGTAATAGTGGAAAACAGCTGGACTGGCTATGTTCAAGAGTCACAAAATCCACCTACTGACACCTCTCTTCTTTTCCTGTTTGGTTTGAATTAGACAAATGAGATATAGCTTGCCAATTATTAAGTTTTGGTGGCCATTCATATGCTATTATTGTCTCCAGGCTAAATGCGACATTGACACTCTCTTCTCCTCTGGTTAACAGCGGTCAGTTTGCTGTGGTCAGAAGATGCCGGCACAGGAACACAGGTGTGGAGTACGCCGCCAAATTCATCAAGAAGCGGCGCAGCAAGTCGAGTCGGCGAGGGGTGACGAGGGAGGACATAGAGCGCGAGGTGAACATCCTGAAGGAGATCCAGCACCCGAACATCATCACGCTGCACGAAGTCTTTGAAAACAAGGCCGAGGTCATCCTGATCCTGGAACTGTGAGTGGATTTGACTTATTGGGAATATATAAGCTCACTTGCATTGGAATAGTTTCTGAAAGAGGCAATAATTTTCAGACGGTGTTTACAAATGCTAGTCACCCGTATTCAAGGTAAATTGCTCATAAACTGTGACTGTAGCCAAAACCTGTTAGGTGTTCTGTAGCACAAGGCCACCGTTTTCTTTACTAAGCACCGGTTAGACCAGTTTTACCAGCCTGCATGCAACTCCAAACACTGTAAGATCAGTTGTGTTTGTATTAGTATCCAGCTGACACACTTACTCACAGCAAATAGGCCTACAAGCAGAATACAACACACCTCAATTACTAGGTCACCTTACTGCCAGCAGTAATGAATGTATTGTTCAAAGCTGCAATTGCCTGACAGCATTCCTGACCAACGACTACATAAGATCGAGGAAGGAATAACAAATACAAAACCTGTCCAGGCCCACAGCGCAGCGCGTGTGTGATTAATAAGTCTGTAACTTGTCTCCAGCTCAGTATGGTACATTGGCAGACCAGGTTACAGTGGCTACAAATAATAACTTATCAATTTATCTTGTATATTTTTATATCTCACATTTTTAAGGTTGACAACATTGAATTCCACTCGCTTTGCACATACCAGGGCAAACCTTTCTTCTTTAACATTGTCAAACTTTTTTTAAAACAATGCTTTAGACAACACAGAAATTAGATAATGAATCAGAAGTAATTATGTGCTGGCCAGATTGCTGTATAGTGTAGAAATAGTGAACTGTAATCAGATATTACAGGCTTTCAGTAATACAAATATGGAACTTGCCATTTTAGACTTCTCAAATGTTGGTACAAGAGCTCTAATGTTTCTTCATTCCTGAAACACAAAATGAGACATAAACATGAACCCTTGGTACTCCTGATTGGACTCATCCACCACTTTATGGGCTGTTAAATTACAATTTTCAACAGTAAAAACATAAAAAAACACCAAGGTAATGTTCTATGTAATGTCACTATCAGTTAAAAAAAAAAAAACATTCAGGGATATAAATATGCTGCTTAGGTGCACAGTGATGCTTGGGTTTATATTTATATTGTATAGTGTAAATGTTTCCCCCTTATTCCATTTCCACTCCATATTTTTCATACTTTCATTCTAAAGGGTCAATATCTTGTGAAAATTGACCTCAAAAGATTCTGTCATACGACTTCAGATACATCAGTCCACCTCCATACTACGTCAGGTTTGCACAGTATGTTTTTGTCAAGTTACGTGGCACTGGATGGCTTGTGAACCTTGAGGGAGAATTCTGGTTTATTTCAAGCCGGCATATTTCTCATTAATGTGAGTATTGTGGCTCTGCACTCTTCACCTCCATTGTAGAGAGATCAATTAACCTGAGCTCCCTGCAGCTTTCCAAAGAAAGCTCGAAAGCTGATTTTTTTACAAGAATGAATGAAAAATGTTGAAACATTTATTTTCAGCCTCACTAAAAGTAAACACAGACAGTAGCTGCCTGTAACAGACTGTATTAGCTTTTACTGACTGTATTCAATCTGGCTGCTACTTATCTTTTCTTCTCCAGGATGGCAGTGTTTATCCAGTCAGCAGTTTCTTCAGTTGCAGGTCCATCACTGATATTACTCTCGTCCATGAAGACGTGAAATTTTCCCAGTCGGCAACAGTTTGCCTCCTCATTCAGCAGCAGAGCCATGAACACAGGGTACACTGTTTTTTTAGGACACCCTGTTGTCTTTCTGCTTCCATCTCCACACTGAAAGTCAGCTTCATACATGTAAACAAACCGGTGCGCTCTGGTAAAAATAGCAGTAATAAGGACGGTTAGCAAGTATCCTTGGATGGAGATCCAGAATGCAGTTGGAAAAATGTCCGTTCCAGGCAGCTCATTTCTGTGTTTGATAAGTGTTTTTATTTCTCTGAACCTTTACAATGGAGGCGAATAGTACAAATCTAGCATTGGCCACAGAGCTACAAAAGCAATATGAATGGGAAACACATCAGGTAAAGTAAACAGAAATTCTTCTTAAGGAGCAGACAAAGAGGTTGGGTCACTGACGTACACTGTTGACTGTCACTGTACATTATCCATACAAGTCCCCAAGAGTATCACATGTACACCTTCAAATCAAATCATCAGCGTTTCTGAACCTTGTAGAAGCAGCATTTAACTACATGGTTATCAGTGCTCATAGCAGCAGGGTAGTTTTTGGTGGACTTGTCTCTGTTAATGGTTCTTCTTATGAGAGGTTGGAGTTTGAAACTGGGGTGTTGAGGCTCAAACATCTCATTTGTCAGTGAAGTCGCTCAGCCAGTCAGCCTGAACCCTCCAACCATTATGGAGGCCGGACCATTATCTCTCACTCTGTTCCAGATGGCATCCGTCCTGTGTGTTGTTTTGCTCCATGTAACACCCCCACAGCACATATTGCATCTCACACGTTCAGGCTTTGCTCTCTCTGATTATATTGCTCATTTCCACGCTGCATTGTTTAACTGTGTCAAGTTTAATTTCAATACATAATCATGTCTAATTAACCTCTTGCAGGACCTCCTTCTTTGTCACACTCCCTGGGCTGGTTTGTGACGGGAGAAATCAGGTCTTAAAGTACTTCATACGTTCTGTCTTCTTAGCTTGGTTTTAGCCTTTTATCTGGCACTGGGATACTTTAGAAAAACAGGGTTAGTCCATCATTTCAAATACTTTAATTACCCTAAAAGCATGACTCGTGCTCCACTCTCTGCAGCATGATAATTCATTTTCCTGGCATGGATGATTTGGCATATCGGTTCCCAAACTTATTTATCTCAAGCGCTCCCAGAAAGATGGACTTGGAGCTCCTGACAGCGATGAGATGTTTGTCATTGTTATGTCAGTCAGGCTGTGTTTGTGTGGGTACACTTCTATATGGTGCCAAGACACCACACAGTAGCTTTAGCTTCCTGGATTTGGTTGTTTGATTGTATAATTATCTAAATTGTCACAGCAGCTGTAATTCTCCTCTCCTCAGGTAAACAATAAATGGATATGATAGATGCTGCGTTGTAATTTGCTCGACATAATACGGCTGCTGTGTTGCAATGCAGTTTTTCTGCAGTGTGTTTTTTGTGTTGACGTGTAATGGAGCTGCTAATTTCTACTCATCAGTAATCAAAACTGAAAATATGAATCCGTGACTTAAAATCAGGGTTTAGGGAGTGATTCTATCAGTTAGATGAAGCAGGGAGGCGATGACTCAGTTTTAATGCCAAGCTTGTACCATTAGTTCTGTATAGCTGCTGCCAGTTCTCAAAAAAGAAGACAGTGTTGAGACGTTCATTAACTTTTTTTTCTGCCTTATGTAATAGAATTGATTGACAGCAGTGACGGGGTCTTACTCTACAATTTACAAAGTGCCAAACTGTAGACGAATTTGTCGTTTTTATTCGGTACAATTCATCTACTGGAGGAGGTTTTTCAGATCGTAGCAGTTAAGCCTCTGAACCCCCGGCAGCTTTAGGGTGTTTTTTGCTCCTGTCACGTTTTTACTCACCGTGGGTTCAGTTTTTACTGCAGTATAAAGTTCTGCACCTAAATGGAAACAGCACAACCATGACTAGATGGAGAGAACTCAAGTCTGTCTTTTAGACAATATGACTCAGTCATAATGGCAGATGTCATAAAAAAATTTAAAATAAAGTTTAATTTCTTTCTATTTTCTGTGTAAGTTTAGGGTACAATTAACCTGAAAAGTCAACTGTTTGTTATAACTGGCTTATGCGTTCTGCTGAGGAGGGCAAAATGTTTAGTTTTTACAGGATCTGGTGCAAAAGGTCTATTTTTGATTTTTAATTTTTGACTAAAACATGCAGAATAAAGCAACTTGGATGAAATATTACTATGTTAAGCTTATAGATGCCTTTTTTTCCTGACGAAGCAGCACTTCAATGCCTTCTACCTTCCTATTAATTGTGACATTGTGACTTTTTGTCTCATTTTCTGTTGTCTAAGAATGCTCTTTTATAAAGTCTAATTGTTATTGCACAGCGTTGAGGAACAGTCACTTTGCATTTCATTGCACATACTGTATGAGCATGTGACAAATAAAAGCTCTTGAATCTTGAATCATCACACATAATGTGTTAATAGACAGTTGGAAAGTTGAATATCTGCAGATTTTTACTGTGACAGTTTCTGTCTCTAAGAAAATGTTTAATTTTAGCAGTTTTTTAAAAAGCTTTTTCAAAACTTGGGGGTTTTGGGGTTCTCAGGGAATGATCTGGATTATGTGTAATATCAAAAAAAGTGAACCAGGTGTAACTTTACCTCAAGTGAACTGTTCCTGGTCCTACAGGCACAATGGTTGCTCAGTGGGGTGACATAATGCTGTGTTTTTTGCAGTGTTTATTCAGCCCTTGGCAGTAAAACATGAAGTTACATTTGTCTGCTAAAAATATTTGGCTTCATGTTGTTCCCTTTTGTCCTCCACATCCTCTCCTCCTCGTGCTGCTCTCTGGGTAAACAGGGCCATGACAGCTGCTGTCCTTTGACCTTAAACACGGACCAACTTGTACAAAAAGAGACAGAGGTGACGTGTTCGGTCAGAAACCTTCTTTCCTGTTTGTGAATGTGTGTTTACACCCTGTCAAGCACTGAAGCAGATGATGAAATAAAGAGCGATATGGAGGAGGAGGGGGTGGAGGTCCCAGCTGTGCAGCTGCTGGTGTTTCCTCCTTGCATGGGTGGAGTTCTGTGTGTTCGGAGGTTTCTGTTCCTGCAAAACAATTTGTGAAGACATTAAGCAAAGGCAATTTTTGTACAGTAACATTAATAGAAGAAATGAAAGTTGCAGGTTATATAACACAAGGCAATAAAACAGCATCAGTGGTTGAATAAGTGTAAAATGATAACTTTAAATTCTATTTTTTTTTTTTTTTCGCAGTTTAAAGTGACTTGAGAGTCAGTTTAAATCCTCACCTGCTGTTAACTGTAAGACAAACATGCATTTGTATGTATGTTAGGCTGAGTAAACACTGGATAAGCATGGCTGTAATTACAGTTATCTGCATCGTTTTTCCTCGTTCTTCTGCTTTCTCCGCTACACTTCCCCTCGCCGCAGGCTTTCACTTACATTACCAGTGAAAAGAATAAATCCCGTGCTCTCTTCATTTCCCATCTCCCTCGTCCTTTCTTTTCCCCTTCAGATCCTCACATCTCTCATCGCTGCTCCTTATCACTAAGAGCTTCTATAATTACTCCTGAATCATCACATTGTTGTTTCATTAAGTGATCGTCAGTTCTGATGTGAAATGGATCCAATCGGACCTTTACAGGTTTGGTTAGATAAAACAGAGAGTCGTGTCTTGGTAGTGATTAGAAAGCAGTTTTATGGGCGTTTATAAAAGTAGTACATTTTGATATTAAAAGAACTTTAAAATAAACAAGGCTGAGTTGAATTTTAGCCTCTTTTAGTTGACTGAGCTCAAAGTATTCAGAATGGTCTTTAGTCCCAATATTTAATGTATTTTGTGATATAATGATGTTGATCATGATAAAATATGTTGAATTTCATTTGATAAATATCATGGGTTTTATTGTTTTGGCTGTTCAGTGTATTTCATTGTGTCTTTACTCACATTCTCATTCTTTCTGCTTTTTCAGACGACATAATGTTTCAGTGACTTACCGTGCTGCTTTTAATGAAGGGTTTCCATAGTTTAAACATGTTACAAAGCAGTTTGTTGTGGTTAAAATGCACTCTGGATGTGTAAATTGGTCAGGCTCTAATGTACCAGGATGATTAGATTAGACCAGCTCAGTTCGGTTAATCAGGGATTTGTAGCTGGCTCTTATCACAGAGATTTCACTTTTTAATTCTCTCTCTCTCTCTGTCCAGCGTGGCCGGCGGTGAGCTCTTCGACTTCTTGGCAGAGAAGGAGTCACTGAGCGAGGAGGAGGCCACTCAGTTCCTCAAGCAGATCCTGGATGGAGTCTTCTACCTGCACTCCAAACAGATTGCTCACTTCGACCTCAAGGTACTGCCACAACCAAAGACTGTAAAAATCACCACCTGATTCCTTCTGCTGATTATGTATTCCAAGCAAAGAGTACTGAAACTTTTTGAGCTCTTGCCCTTTTCATCAGCGTCACTGATACACAATAATATATAAATAAAAGCTGTGTTGGTATATGATATACCCCATAGTATAGAGGTCAACAAAGAATAAACAGGGGTAAAAGACACAAAAGAGCAAAAGCTTAAAATACATAGATAATCCATATGAAATGTCCAAAAATAGTGTTATTTATATGCTTTCTGTGATATCAAATTGGTCATTCCCCTGGCCTTATTCCCCCATTTCCTTTCTCTCTAGTGCCACTGTCAGATAAAGGCAAACAAATGTCCCAAAATAATGACAATAAAGAAAAGAAAGAAAGATCCACTCCTCTGGTGGTTATGAGAGTCTCATAGAAACACTTTAGACACAGAAGATGATGGCAGTCACTCCCTAAAGGTCACTTTGTGTTAGTACAACACTGTCGAATCGATGCTGTCTTCGAAAAGATTCCTCAATTGGATGCACAGCAAACAAACCCCCAAAATTTGTCTTCCCTATCCGAGGTCACAGTAAACTGTTGACACCACTGTTGTAGGTCATGTCCATTTTCCTAAGTGCCAGCTCAGTGGAGGACAGATTTAAGAGAAATGTGTGACTATATAGAATTACACATCAGATAACCCTCGTTTTGTCCTCTCGTTCTATCTCACTTTTTCATTTTATCATGTTTTTTTTTCGCTAATTCATGTGAAGCTAATTACCATGACTAATCTGTTCTCTGGAGTCTCTCCTTTTTATTATGGAGTGTCAGTACTTTAAGCTCCCGAGGGAGAAGCTGTAAAGGTCATAGTGTACTCACAGCAGAACAACATGTTTACATTATACAGCACGTTATGCCACCTCTGTTTGTTTGGTGTATTTCTGAACCCTTGTTGTTATTGTTCTTTATTTGAATCTCAGTCAATATCATTGATCAGTTGTCCACTTACAGCTGCATATGTGGCGCCTTTTGACAAAACAGCCCAGACCGACTCCTCCACTTACAGAGCAATCCTAAGAAATCATACATTAGAGTTAAGGACAGTTGACCTGCAGAAAATAATGAGCTGTGTGTCCAGCATGGACACTTGTGATCAATGCTGGAGCTTTTAGTGACCACTACGGCCTCCGCTTTGGATTTCAGCTTCTGTTAGTCACTGTCGAGCAGCGGCTCAGATTATACTTTAAATGACTTTCTTCAATAACGCTGTATTCCATTCTTAATTTTGCATTTTTGCATTCTTGTCAGCTCTTTTTTCTTTGTGTTTGAGACCATGTAAAAGACATTTTGTCAATTTTAACTCCTTTATATGACTTTCTATTTGGATATTGAGCAGTAGCAGAGAATCAGGGTCAAAATTAGCAGCATTTCAAAAGTCAGTTGTGAGAAAACTGTTTCTTTTTTTGTGTCAAATCAATTCCTAGAGGGAGTAACATTGCCAGTCAATGCACTCCTTATACTCAGGAGCCTAATATATTGGGCAGGGAAAACTAATGATGTCTGAGTCATCACCACTCATCTCATATGCAATTTGTAAATGAACTAATGGACTGAAGTGATTTACAGTCAGCTGTTCTTTTAATGGAAAATACTTGAAATGACTGAGCTTGTAAAAATCCCCAAACTTTGATGCTTCCACTGTATTGTTGTTTATTAATTCTACAATTAATGTTGTAATCTTTGTGATTTTCATCATGTCACAGAGAGATTCGTGGAGAAACATGTTTTTGTCGTCCGGCTTCGTTAAAATTCTCATTTTGCTCATTATTTAAGGTTCTCAAATTATGCAGATGGAGAACTAGAACAGCTTGTAACCTACATTTGATGTCGTCGTCCTTCATTCCAGCATAAACATACGCATTTTAATGTTTGTAGAGCAGAGAACAAAAACCAACGAGCCGAGCTAGAGTTTGTACTTTCTCATTGGCTCCAGTTGCTGCTGCTGCCCACAGCCAATCTGTTCTTCCCAGACTAAATCCTCAAGTTAGGCTCATAATCAAGCTGGTCTGAAGGGAAGATGGACCCATCTAAAAGAGGCATTGTGTCCTTAGGAATGTCCGGCTTCTGTCATTTAGCTTTGCTCAAAGCACATCTTTGCCGTTCTTTCCTTTCTCCCGCTTCCTCGAGAGGTTTTCACTCGTGTTTTGCATGGGATTTCCATGCCTGATGAGCCTCCTTCCTGCCAGACTGTTCCTGGTTTTGTGTCCGACTCTGCTGCTGCTGCCTTGTTTACTCTTAGTTTGTGTCCAGCACTGATCATTTATGGGAAAGGATGGGTGTCTTTTACTGGTGCTGCTTATCAATCCGGTACTTCAACAGCACTCTTATTATAGAATACTTTTTTTTTTTTTACATTTTTGCCTTTATCAGATTCATAAGAAGAGAAAGAGGAATGTAAGGGCATGAGCCAGCTGGGATTTGAACTAGACTCACTGCTCATGCTAATGTGGTATGTACCCTGACCACTGAGCTATCAGGTTGCCCCTTCTGTGGAAAAAAGAAAAATTAATAGAATAAACATTGCTTTACTTTGTCTTTTGTTTTTTTGTTTTTTTTAATCCTTTCTTTCACTTGACTTTTAATATAAGCCTGAGTGTAGGAGTTTACTGTGCAGTATTAATCGTTCTACTTATGTTTACTTTACCTTCTGAGCACTTCTTCTACCTCTGCAAACACCAGGATTCAATAAGAGAAAGGGTGACGACAAAGCAAAACAGAGTTTGCATGCAACCCCAAATCAGGCGCATATCATTACTTTGAGCCCCCTCATCTCCTCTGTCCTCCGCCCTGCTGCCTGTAACCCAGAAATCAATCTTGGCGCAGCATCATGAAGGAAGCCTCAATTCCGATAATGCATCTCAAGGACAGAGGATCAAGGAGGCTTGCTTGAGGAGCTCTGAGCGAGGATGCACAGGTGTATCCTCGATTAAGTCTTTCCACACCCGTGACATAAAAGAGGTGAAACACGCAGCTGGAATATAAAAGCCTTGTCAGGAGGAAGACTGACAGATGTGTGTGTAGTAGAGTAGTATATGACGCTCTTTATTTGTGCTGTACTCTTTCGTGTGTTATGCCACTTTTATGCTTCATGGCACGCGTGTGTGGTAAATAAAAAAAGGAAAGCAGATGACATTCATACACGCTTGTCCCATCATGCCACATTGTGAATTAAATTAAAAGTAAATATTTACCGTCAGTTGTCATGAACCCTGTTACGTTCATCACACACGGATGATAAAGTACAGCTGTGCTACTCCAAAAAAAAAAAAAAAAACAATGGACAGATGATGCAGCTGTGCCACAAGTTAACTGACGATGCTTTGAACAATAGTTTCAAACTGAGAAAGTCTCATTTTCCTTGTGTCCCTTCCTCGCCTCCTCCACCCACATCTCTGGTGGGAGGGAGAGGAGATGAAAGAAATGGAGAATGTAAAGAAGAGGAGTTAGTCTGCCCTGCTCCGACCACCTAAACGTGAAACTATGAATTTCTGATAGAAAGCACAGATGACACTCTGACCATTTTGGATTAAATTTAAGAACACATCCATTGCTATACAGTCAGCTAGCTAAGGGCTACTTTTAGTCCTTAACCCATGTTTGTGTGATTGATTTAACTCCATGCATGGGCTCTAGGCTGTTAGAATAGCTACATAACAATGAGAGATGAACTAGAAGCTTGGCAGTTGAAAGTTGAACATTTCTCCGTCTGTATGAACTTCCTAGAGATGTTTCCACCAATTGATTGTGTTTCTGGTCTTATATGCTTTCTGCATCTCACTGGGTTGAGCCTCCAGTCTTTATTAATTTACCCAAGGGCCTGTTTGACACCAGGTTTCAGACACATTCTTAACATTTCTGTGTGAGCATTGTTACCCCAGCCCATTAAAATCACGGTGCACAGGTGGCTACGTGTCGTTAACAGGCTTTTAGGAAATGATCAATAAAGAGTTTGGTCTCGATTTTTACTCTGTCCTCTCAGTGTCCAGTTTCTCATCCTTTAACGTGTCCTTTTTCTTTCTTTCTGTCTTTCCATGTAGCCGGAGAACATCATGCTGCTGAACCGCTCAGTGCCTCACCCGCGCATCAAGCTCATTGACTTTGGACTGGCCCACAAGATAGATTTTGGCAATGATTTTAAAAACATTTTCGGAACGCCAGAGTTTGTAGGTCAGTATCGCCACATTTGTGTGAACATTTTTTTTAAACTTTATTTTTGTGTGTGTGTGTTTTCCCTATTGATGTTCTTTTTTTGGCGTTCTGATGAAGTTGCACAAATATGCTTTCTCTCCTTTTTCTGCTTTACACACACAGTCAGTGCACCACCCAGATTTACTGGCGTTATCCCAGGGGTTGCATATTGTGAGAACATTTGCCAACTGTACCATAGGGACTAAGTGAGAGAGACCTGATAATAGACCAGGGATTATCAGAACTGCCCCTTCTTGCCAACACACACACATAGATACATCGCTGCCATCTGCCCTCATCTAGCCTATTGCTTGGGGCAGTCGCCAATCCTCCCAGTCTCCCCCCGTGTGAAGCCAGTGCCGACTACCAGCATCATCCAGGCCGAGGCCAGAGCTAGTTGCCAGATCTGCAGGATGTCAGCTGTCAAATTCTGTAAATAACAATCACCTACCAGAAAGCTGAGAGTTGGGTAGCAACAGGTAGAAAAAGGACAATTATTAGCAATTTCTAAATATATTGAATTTGCTGTTGGGAGAGTTGAAGGAGGCTTGTGTAGAAAGGACAGCTGCATGCTGGTGTTGTAAAAGCAGCAGGAAGTTAGTTATTGTAGTCCAACAGACAGATTTGGTCCGTTTACCAGCGCAGTCAGCTTTTACAGGCAAGGCTGTGACGCACAGTTCACAGAGGAAATGAAGGTACTTTGGATCTCTTTACACCTAATAGCTGCAATTTCTGTCCAAACCACACTCTTTCTCTGAGTCACAACTCAGTCAAATCTAAACACGAAGACATAATACACATTTTTTCATAGTGTTACATTAACCCCCCAAGGAAATCTTGTTCGCCCCGAATAACCATCTAAAAATCTGCTTAGAAAAAGACTTTTTCAATAATGTTCTTCAGTATTGAAGTAATCTGGTTATAGTTGGATGTGCATCTGTTGGTAAGATGCTGAACTATCAGTCTGACAAGGAGGAATGTTCTGCTGAAATCAGTGAATAGTGCTGCCATGAAGGGCTGTACGTGGTCTGCAGCAGTGTTTAGGTAGGTGGTACATGTCAAAGTAACAACCATGTGAATACCGGGTTTCCCAGCAGAGCATCACACTGTCTGAGCATCCTGCTGCAATCTCTTTCTGAGATAAAAGAGCCAATACCTTTCATTGCCCCATGGTGCAGTCCTGATGTTCTCATGCTAGTTGTAGGTGCTTTCGGCAGCAGACAGCATTCAGCTTGTGCATTCTGACCAGTCTGCAGCTACATAAGCAGGAAGCTACAATGCACTGTGTGTTCTGACGCCTTTCTGTCGTAGCCAGCATTAAGGCTTTCAGCAGTTTGTGCTACAGTAGCTCTCCACACAGGCCAGTCTTCACTCACCTTACACACCAGTGACTTTTGGATACGCATGGTCCTGTCACCAATTTACCACTGCTCTGACTCAGTCATCGTCACAGTTTGTCAAAGCCACTCACATCCTCACGCTGCCCATTTTTTCTTCAACTTTAAGAACTGAATGTTCACCTGCTACCTAATGTCTTCCCCCCGTGACAGGAGCCATTGTGGCAAGATAATTAATGTGGTTCACTTCACCTCCCAGTGGTTTTAATGTTATGGCTGACATTAACTTGATGTTTAATGTCACAGTCTGAATCCTGTCTTTCACTACCATCTACCTTGTTTTGTTTAAATTTGCTTAGGAATGAATATACTGTTTCACCTTTCATTATTCACACATCTGAGGAAATGTGATAAGAGAAAAGAAGAGGAGCAATAATCACAACTCTTGTAGGCGTGATAAAAAACACAAAACAGTGGCTTGTAAAATGACACCTCTAAAGAAACAACAAAAAATCTGTTATCCCAGCTTAAAGTGATAAAACGCTCAAATAACAGCAACAGCAGACTATAAAGGAACTGCAACATAAAAATACAGAACTGAGTTAGTATGGGGAAGGAAAGGAACAGGCCAAAGTTAGTGCGTGAATGTGATTTGCATGTTGACCTGAAAAGTAATAATCTTGTTTTGTTTTGTGGGTTTGATTTCCAGCTCCAGAAGTAGTCAACTATGAACCTTTGGGCCTGGAGGCAGACATGTGGTGAGTAAACAAACAATCCGCTTCACAATGAGCATTATGGACATATGCTGTTTGAAATCGCTCTTATTTATGGAGAACATCTGCTGTTAAGAAAAGTTATGTTTTGCATGATGTACTCAAGTCAAATTGCACAACTGCTTCAAGATTGGATCTCTCGATGTTAAAAATCTCTCTTCCCTTTGTCCCTGCTTCTATCCAGGAGTGTTGGTGTGATAACCTACATCCTGTAAGTATCTGAAATCCCACCAGTGATGGCGGCTAATGGTGTGAAACATGTATTAATTGGAAATGCGCATCACTGCAGGGTTTTTACGCATCCCTCATCTTTGTGTTTGGATTTTCGTACAATCCCCGAGGCGTCATCATTCACTCAACGTGACTGTCAGTCAGGATGTTTGTCGAGACGTAAAGAGGTTAATGGCTGCTCTTTGACCTCTTTGTTGTTGAACTCGCCGGGCCAAACGGCAGTCACTGTGCTGTTTGTCATGAATAATGTAAAGGCCTGCAGCAGAAACCATGGAGCATATTAAAACTGCCTTTTGGGTGCATTCGAGTGAGACGAATATCTCAGTCGCTCTGTGAACGTTTCAATTCATTCCAAGAGATTGTACTTTGATTGGCGTTTTATTAAATATCCAATATCAGTGAGTCATTGTTGACCACATTACAGAGCCTCCTTCCTGAGAACAATTACACCAAACAGCAAAACCGACAATTATGTTTTAGCTTTTCTCATATTTTTTTCACAAATAGTTTTTCTGTAATTGCCATTCCTAGCTGCCGTTATTGCCTCAAATCTTTTATCTTTTCGCTTAGGGACCAATTTAGGGCTTCATTTTCTATTTTCTATTAAGGACTTTGTTATCTAGTTCTCTACTTTATTCTGCTTTCCTTACTTTAATTTGCAGGAAGAGTTGCTGTCATCCTCTCGCTCAGAAAACAGTGCTGTCGAACCCCTTAGGGTGGCTACAACGCTTCCTTTCAATGCACCAACAGTCACACATGCTTTTATGTGTCATTCCAGTTCTCTGCTGCCTGAAAAGTTTGTAGTACAGTGTTTAATATACTATAAGACTTGCTTTTTTATTTTATTTTATTCATATTTTACCAATTTACCCTGAAAAATACCCAATTTTTTTCACGCAAGAGTTTCTAATTTTCACATGGGTTTAATACCTCTCTACACCCACAAGTTGTTTTATTTCTTCCTACATAAAGGTAGGTTACAACTGTTTACAAGGGTTGAAACTAACAATTGTTTCTAGCATTTTTTAAATCAGAATTTACTTAAAATATTTGCTGACTAATTTAATAGTTGAAAAATATTCCATTAATTATTTTAGCTCTGCAGTTTACAGTATCTAAAGTCCTCTTGCAGTGTTTGCAGCTCGTAAAAAGCTTTCTCTAACTGAGGATAAAGAGAAAACTACAGATGATGAAATGTGAATGAGCTGCTGCCCATCACACTAACTTCAAAACACACAAGATTAAATCATAAAGCACTTAAGCTTACAAATGGGATTTTTGAAATCCAGACTGAGCCTGGATTTTGGCATATTTATTTTTAAATCTGATTTTAACCTGTTTTTTTTTTTTTTTTTTTTTTTTTTTTTTTTTTTTTTTTTTTTTATTGTAAATGAGTGACAAGAAATTCTGTGATTTTATTTAAATAAAATCTCAAACAAGGAGTTCTAAAAGAGTTTTGGCTGCTAGAAGCCAGTCTGCTGTAACTAACTGAGTCTGGACTTTGTTGATCTGGTAATTCTCGTTTGATCTCGTCAGCGTGTTTCTCTCTTAATGAGGGGCCCTTAAATCTCAGAAAAGACGTCCTGGTTAGATTTTGGATTTAATAAATCACAATTTGTAGACACAGCTCACTGTTTGATGTAATCTTTATTAGCCGCACTCCTTTAGAGGAAGTTGTACTAAAGTCTCAAAATAAATAAATTATGTGATTTTTATTTTTTAATTCAGTTAAGCAATTGATGTTTAGAGCAACCAACACTGTCCCCTTCAGCCGAGGGCTTTCATTAAAGCAGTGAGTGTTTCTGAAGCAGCCGTTTGCAGACTTGTCAGCACAGTTTAATTCAGCGGCAACAGAAAAGTTCATGCCCTCGACGACCCGTAGACCAACTGCTGATGGCTCTTCTTGATGCTCTCCTCCTCTCTGTGTACGAAACCTTTCTGAGCTTGTGCACCGTTATCCTTCACTTACACAAAGCCAAATGCAAAATGTGTTCCCAAAACTGCACATTTGATGTATACGCCCACACAAACGTGTACAGTGCAGCGGCAAAGTAAAGGTGAATACCAACCTAAAAGTGTTATCTGATCATTACATAATAACGATCTGCAAACGCCACATGCTTCATGTTAGAGAAATAACATGTAGGAGTTTTGAACATGATGCGTTGTTTTGTCTCCACGTTACACAACGCACAAATGTGTCCATGCTCACATGCATGCTGCACACATACACACACACGCGATCTTTGTTCATGCTGTCCACCCACACAGCTGTCACAGCTCAGCCTGGCAAGGTAGAAAATAGATTGTTCGCTGCCTATTATCACAGCAGAGCAACCGTGAGGTGCACTGCCTGTTCATCTCTTACTGTTAAATGCAATGTGAGGAGAAAAAAATGGCTGGGAATAATTCAAGAGGCAATTTGTTTTTACTTTAAGGAGCATCTTCTCACTTTTAATTGGAGTGTTTTGCACAAGTAATGACCCAGTTGCCACAAAATAATAAAAGTTCCATTAGGCTGAAAGATTTGCCTTAGCTTCAGATAATGGCTTAAGTAAATGTGGTGAATCAGCTTGTACTGCTAGAGCTCTAATTTGGGTTTTAGGTTGTTAAGTTGGGTTTATTTCAGCATAAAATTGCACGTGGTGTCTCTTTTAAGTCCCATTTGTGAAGCATTTTTGGGAAAATAGTGTCTAAAATGTTGCCAAAGAACCCTGACTGAACACTTTCCTGCTGGTTTTACTGCCTGCTCTTGTGAAAAACTGACTTAATTACTTGTGTGTTGTGAGCAGCTGCACCTTATACAGTCGATAAATTCATACATTTCCACTCAACTTGAGCTTGACCTGCACCACCTCCTTGTCTCTCCCAGCTGGCATGTTAATTAGCGGCTGGTGCTGACGAGCTTTAGCAGGGAGGGCCACGGTTCTGTCTTGGAATGATGTTTGGTTTAACTGCCTGAGCTCCAGGAGACTGGAGTCCTCATCAGCATGCATGACCGCCCAGCCCTGTTTGTGCTCTACTGTGTCTTGGCTTGTCCATTAAAAACGAGCTTTTGTTTTGTGCTGTTGTGCACTTCATCCCTTCACTGCATTGGCTCATTTTTTTTATGAGTGCTTGGAGTAGAGAGGTGTGAAAGTGCATTAAAATTCCTGCAATCACACTGAGAGCAGACCAGCTGGCTTTCCTGCGATAGCATTTGACTTAACACACACCAAATACTTCAAATTGATAGCGAAGCCTGGCAAACGAGTCACCATTAGTTGCTACGCTGCTCTGTAATCACATTCCCTCGTCAAAGAGTAGTGAAGGTCTTCGTTTCGGTTTCGAGGGCCAAAGCTAATCAGTAGACGGTGAATTAGTGTTTGGACAGAAATCCAAGGAATTCCTTTTCCTTTGATTACAAGACCCATTGGGGGAAAGTTAGATGATGAGGAAGCAAGACGTTCTTGAGCTCGTTGAAGCTTTAAAGCAGAGCTGATCATGTAATCAAAAAGAATTCCTCTCTAGGTTTGGGGAAGAGCTGAACAATTTTGATACACAATTGTGATACTGCAATTTGATTTGTGATGCAGGTCTTTAATGGCGCCTTACCAAACGACATACCATCAAAAGTGTGACTGGCACACATTTTGGCAAACCACTGACAGTTTAAACCCACACTGTACAACCATACAGTAGGCTGTGTTTTATCTGCAGTGCTTAATTGTTCAGCCAAAGTCTGAGATGTTTTTGTTTTGTTTTACTGTAATGTCTTTGTTGACTCATTGCTAAACAAATGTATTATTTACCTCTTTCCCGTCTCTCAGTCTAAGCGGTGCATCTCCTTTCCTGGGCGACAACAAGCAGGAGACGCTGGCCAACGTGTCAGCTGTGGACTACACGTTTGACGAGGAGTTCTTCAGCAACACCAGCGTCCTGGCCAAAGACTTCATAGCGAGGCTCCTTGTTAAAGATCCAAAGTACGTGTGATCCGTCTTTCAAAAATATTTTAATAGTGTGGCTAAAGGTCTTAAAAAGTCTGCTTCAGGTAGAGAGAAATTCAAACTGTCCTTTATTATGTCGTTCAAGGTTTGTTCTACACAGAAAAACTTTTGACATCCTCCAAAGGGTCTTTGGTCAGCACCAAACGAGAATCACTTGTGGCAAATTTATAACAAGAACCGAGAAAAACGTTGCATATTTACATTTGTCTTCATTTGGTTTTATTCAGACAAGCATAGTAAACATTTAGTCAAATCAAATGGTCCAAAATAACAGCAAAATGCACTGAATTCCATCAAATAAGCTACCATGCACTCCCCACCTTTACTGTAAGCAGGCCAATCATTCTAACTGTCATGTCGTCACCCCTCGGGCTGATTTTGAAATAGGAAAAACCCTGTTCATGTATGAAAGCACAGCAGCATCACAGCTGGATTATTCATTAGTCTCTTAATGATTTTTTTAAATACTGAAAAGCTGACAGGAAAATTGAGTAAGTGCTTTATGCAGATATTCCAGCTTTGACTGCCATGTCACTGCTGGCTCATGGTGCCTCAAAGTGTTCAGACACTGACTCTCCCTCGTTATTCAGTCGCTCTAGCAACAACTGAAAGGCTGCAGCTGCACTTGAACACATTAGAAACTCTTTTTCTCGCTCGTAATTACTCCTGTACCTTCAGAACAATGGAGTGAGAGCGAGGGGGCTAACAGAGGTGAATAATTGTAGGTGTGGAGATAATTTCATTTGGATAGGCTACGGTAAGAATAGAGACAGTACAGGGCGGGCACGGGTGACTTTAAACAGACAGTGGAAGAAAGAGTGACTTTACAAACTCCACCTAATGGGGCTTTTAGAAATCCCCGACCGAGTGCATCGAAATGGAACGGCTTTTAATTGATCTGTATCACGAGCAGACACGGATCCACTCAGCTGGCAGCAAGATTAATGAAGATTACCTCAAAGAAGAGAGACACATATTACTCCGTGATAATGTTCACCGTGACACTGGAGAAAAAAAGGCACCAGCGTAGTCTTTGTTCTATGTAATACGGTTCATTTCCTCAGCTGAAATGTGAAAAACACTGCAAAGCACAGTCAGCCCTTACGCTGGCTCTTACCTCAGGCAGTGGAGTGAACATTTGTGGGTTATCTCTGACTCAGGTTTGCACGTGAACACAGAGTAACCTTAGTTAGAAACAGGGACGTGGTGGTAAACAGACAGACAGGAGGAAGCAGTCTGTTGACCAGATCGCATCAGTTTCCCTAATGTTAGCTTTTGTTGGACAAACTGAAACTTTGTCAGAACAATGTCTTGTTTTCATCGTTAATTAACTGCAGTTGTAATAAGGGATGTTGCAGTGAGAAATAGGGGAAGTGGTGTCTGCACCTTCAGCCACACCAGTTTCCTTAAGCCTTGGTTTTAATGAATGCTAACTAAATACAGCTTATTGATTTCCCAAGTCCTACTCTGTTAATAATGTTAGTTTATTATAATTCTTTCGCCAATGGAGTGCTTATGTTCTGAAACATTTCCTCTAAATTATTGTCTATCTTGGGAAGAAGAACACATATTGATCTTTGTTTTTTTTCTGTTTACTCAAGTGTTCCCAATAGGTTTCTGCGGTGCCTCATCTGAGATGTTGATAATAGCAGAAGTATATGAAGTTTCAAAAAGGAAATAAGATATTTTAGATTAACAAAGGTCAATATAGAAAAATTGAGAATGGCTGTATCTATCAAAGATCCAGACCAACGTTTTACGTCAGTACTGGTGCACCTAACTATCATTTAGCTGTACCAACACATAATGTAGGTGCACCAGAATTTTTCACCACACCTTTTCACATGGAAATATACATCATAAGCGTTACCCATACATATTGGTGTTTTCTTAACACGATATGTCAGTGATTGTAACCAAGAATAAAGGTGCAGATAAAGATTGGTGTTACAGATACCACAGTGATGATTAAATACCATCCAGGTCACCATTTGCTTTTTGTTTTTGCTGAAGTTTATGTCACCCACTGACTGTATATAAAGACAGGCAAACCCTCTGTGATGACACCCATAGCTTTCCTGAAGAGCGGTTTTGAAGCTCAGTGTGGTGGCTCTGGTCAGCACCATCTTGGCAGTGCCTGACTGACACCCAGCTAATCTGAATATGAGCAAAAAGAACAACCATGCAAACATCTCTGGACCATGGACTGTCCTATGACAGCACTCATCTGTCACTGAAAGCAGCCTCGGCTGTAATTATGCAGAACTTTAAGCTCTAATACAATTTAATCAGTGAGTTATGTATACATTCACTGCCTGTACAGTTGCCACGAATGGGAAAATTATCTATACAGACCAAAACCATTTGTTGTTCCAGACTGTAAAATTGTATATTTCTTCTGTACAGTTTAGCATTTTTGTGTTAAGGTCTAATGGGATAGACACCTTTCTGCCTCAAGTGGCCTTTCAAGGATCTGCAGTTTTTGGCATTTCAGTGTCGGTTTCATTTTTCAGCCCCAAAGGTGGAGGACGAGGTCTCAAATGGCTTTTATGATTCTTAAAGCTTTGGTAAAGATTATAATTAGGGGTGGGCGACACTGTGAAATTAG